AAATGTAGCACCAACTTCAGGCTCATTCAAAGTGATTTAGCAGACTTCATCAGAAGCACATGTGATGCTGCTGTCAGACCCACCAGCCCCTCCCATGGCATGTACAACTGGAGCACAAGGCAGTGCCACAGCCTCTGCTGGCAGAGGTGCAGTAGCTGAGGGCTGGAGAGACACCGTGCAGTCATTGATACTCATGTTCATGAAGTGTTCCATATGGTAGCCCAATGGCTTGAGGGACACCAATTCTTCAGTCTTTGCAACAATGACTGGCTTTCATTTACTGGTGTGACAGCACTCCTAATGAAACACCCAGAAAGAGCTTCACAGGTGCCAGAACTTGAAGGAAGAGGGGTTGCTTCTGTCACTGTTCTTTGATGGATTCTTTGTGTACAGCTGCCAGCACTGGCCCTTCTGTTCCAGGGGAGGAAGGTTTGTCCTGTGGACTGGGAGCTGCTCAATAACATGATGGTGTCTGTTTATGTGCTTGTGGGGTGGAGAGCAGAGCAGAGCAGGTAATGCACACACCTCACTGGGGCACATAACAACATTAGAAACACTTGAATTCTTATGCAGAAGAGATTTCCATTTAGAATGGGTCTTAGCTGCATAAAGCATCCTGAAATATCATATCTACTACAAGGTTAATGATGCTCTATATTATTCCTTAAAAAACACTTGATGTGAAACACTGCCCTGTGTCTTTGCTAGATATTCTCATTGTTATTATTATAAACAGCAAAGAATGTATGTTTGATAACATTTTTACTATGGCTTTTTTTTTTCATAGGAATTAGATCTCATTAGAAATCAGAAGCAAGATTTATTTTGTGTACTGATAAATTATTAAACCCAGTAATACAAGCAAGATTACATACCAACCCAGAGAAATCCTTCAGAGTTGTTTTTTTAAACCTGTGTCAATGAACAGTTTATTCTGAAGCATTTCAAATGTGTATGCATATGCATTATATACATATATATTATATATATATATTTATATATATATATGTAGTGACAAAGCGAGTAGTTTAATACATTTTATGGCTCCAGCCTGGAGTTCTGCATACAGGAACCTGTGTGTGGTCAAGGAGGCTTGCATACTTTTGAACTCTAAGTTGGCCTAATAAAAGATATCATACTACAGTGCTTGCTTTGTCAATCCTGTTTTGCTGGCTCAAAATGACTTGCAAGATTAATTTTCAATTTTTAACATAAAACCCAAGAAAAAGAAGTGTTTACTTACTGCAAGGAGTTGATTCCCTGTTAATGACCCTGAAGGAGGCTTGTATACAAGGTACAGATTGTTGCCAATTTGATGTATATTCATGTTACATAATATAAAAATGAGAAGTTATACCATCTTGAGGGCTTTGTTTTTATAAGTTAAAAAAGCTTTTAAGTAATCATACTGTGTGTTTGATGGTGGAAATTAGTATGAATGTTTCTGGCAGTGGAATGATGTGATGTGGTTATGCATTTCTGTTTTCACTGCCTGCTCAATATTGGTCTTTTACAAATACAGATTACCATGTCGATGGAAGGAATTTACAGCTTTGGCCCCCTTGTCTCACTCTGTGTTACAGCACCCTTTTTTGTACATTATGTTACATATCCTCCCAACTGCATTTTTGTGACAGAAAAAGGAAATGTCTCTGGACTGAGATCCTGAAAATGTGTGAGCTTTACTATTTAATTGAATGAAATGAGTATTATTTCCCATTAAGCTTGATTTCCTGTGGGGTGAAATCTTGCTCCTCTGAAACCAGTAGCAAACACACTGCTGTGTATGAGAGGATGGAGAGTCCATCAGTGATCCCTTACCAGCTAGTGACATTGCATCCTGGAAGCTCAGAAAAAAACAACCCTTAACAATAAGAATGATAGAAAGAATACTCTTTCAAAAGTCAAAATTTAGGGCTCTCAAATAAACCCCAAGCTGAATACAAAAACAGTATATATGATGCATTTAACACTGCTGGTTTTGGGGCCTCACTGCATCCCATACTTACCTCATCTTGTGGGCAAGGAGCTGCTTGCTCTGACTTCATGGAATTGCAGCTGTATTTGTGGAGTGCTCTTGTCCTTTGGCACTGCCTACCCAGTACATTAATACAGTTTAAATGCACCAGCATTTTCTCTGGAAGCAAACTTCAAAATTTGTCTTTAATCCTGATGCAATGCATATTCAGATTTTTTTTATTTTCCTGGATTTTAGTTCCAGAGGAAAACATACTTGACTGGTGCTCCCACCAGCCAGCTGTGGTTTGTAATGACAATAATTAACAGCAAGATACTGCAGCGGAAAAATTTGAAGCAGAGAAATGCAGTCCAGTTGCTTCAGAGATATGATTTTGTTAACTTTTAAGGATTCCAAAGTGCTTAACAAACAATATGACAGGCACGATGGGCAGCTCTGGCCATTGTGAAGGTCTTCTAGTGCTTCCTATTTCAATAGTCTTGTTTGTTTATTTTATTTTATTTTATTTTATTTTATTTTATTTTATTTATTTTCCCAGGGTTCTGCCAGTGTGAATATATTTAGACTAAATTTATTTTTATCCAATGCCAGTCTCCACACTTTAAGTTTTTGAATTGAAAAGTGGTTGAAGTATTAATAAGAAGAAGGTTAGATTTTTGCTTTTTTAAAAAAATAATATCTGCTCCCTGTGTTTTTGAGCAAAGACAGGCCTTTCTCTGCCTTTGAATCAGGTATGAGCCTTTTGCCGTCCTCACAAAGCCTTTCAAGTTTGGTCGACTGTTTCAAGACATGGAAAAAACCACAGTTACCAAATATCCCATAGAGGTTTACTAAAGCCTAACAGCAAATATTTCCAGAGATTTCATCTTCTCCGCCTCACACAGCTCCTTCCCACGATCAGACTTTCCATACACCGTCCTCACAGGATGACTGAACTCACTGCCTGGGGGCACCAGAGGCCAAAACTGAGGCAACCTCTGTTGTGCTGTCCCTGGGCGTTACTTTGAGCTGCAGTGATGCTCTGCAGTGGATCTGGGAGTAGGGAGCCAGTCCCTCCTGAGCTGGAATGCATCTTAGGGCTCCCAAATTTTGGTTTGTATGCTGTTGGCAAGCCTCCAGCATAGTTTCTCTTTGCTGATGGTCTGTACGCACACAGAGGGTTGGACAACCTCAACAAGACCCTGAGCAACCACATCTGATGGTGAAATGAGTTCTGCTTGGAGCAGGGGGTGGGAATAGACAACATCCTCAGAGTCCTTCCCAGTCTGAGTGAGTCCATGGTCCTCTGACTCTTTACTGACCATTTCTCCACGAATGTGTGTAGGCCTAAAGGCAGCATCCTAGTTGATGGGTTTCTGTAGGTATGATGCACATGGTGGAAATACTATTTTTTACTTTATTTTAAAAACAAGGGTATTCAAAACACCTCATTAAGATAATATTCAAGATGCATGGACTGGTATCTTAAAATTAAGATAAAAAAAATGAATCTCTGCAACCTCAGTATGCTTCTAACATGTGTTTGTGTGGAAACACTGACTCTAGTTTTGTGATTGCGCTGTGTTTTCACTCACATGGCTTCATCTCTGTATCTAGTGTGGATCTGCTCTGGAGATGAAGCAGCACCAAGGAAGATTGGTGGATGCAGAACTCTAGCTCACTTGTTGAGAAGATGCAAGGTATTTTCTGATTGAAACAGGGCATGGTAGAAAAAGAAAACAAGATCTCCAGGTTTAGGTATTTGAAGTCTGTTCTGGAGAGCTGGACAGTGTCCTTGCCTCTTCCACTGTCTTCCTGTGTGGTAATGGGCAGACATTTCCCCAGTGGTCAATTGCCAAAAGACCGTTTCTGCTTGTTCCAATAGGACCTGGAACAAGATGACTGTGCAAATGTCATCCAGCAATCACAACTCTTTCTTTGGTAATGTCATCTATGATGTTCCGTCTAATAAAGCCTTCATCAAGTCAGGTTAGGTAATTATTACTTCCTTATATCTGTTTATCATCTAGTGTTCAGCTTCTGTTTATATTTCTACTTTAGACTTATAAATATTTATAAATAGTTATTTATCAATGAATTGGGCAAACTATCTTGAACATCTCTGAAATTCACTGAAATATTCAGGCAGCATATGAGATTGTTTTTCAAACCTCAGCAGGATTAATTAGATCCTGCAGTTCATTCATTTGCACTGTAGTCAATTGGAGTCTTACTTGTGGAAAGTCTGCAAGACCAAAAATTATGCCCAATGGGCACATAGCTCTATAGTAGAAAATGTCAGCTCCAGATGGTAGTATTTCTGACTTCTCATCAGTTAGACTCTCTTGACTCCCACACTTTTTCTCTCTTTCTCAATTAGCTTTTCTTGCATTTTTATGTGAGTGGTTTTTTTTAAAATTATTTTAAAACTTTCTGTATATGTGCTACACGTTTTCATTTACAGATCACTGAAATGGATAGGCAGATAAATAAATAGGGTTTTCTGAGCTTCTGAAATATGTAGCATAATATAAACCCCTCTTCAAAGTCTGTTTTGTCAAATGTATCAAATGATATTTTGAAAATTATATTTCTGGAGTATATTTTCAGCATTTCTTATTGTTGTTCTTGATCTATGTTTGACAGTCACTTAATCTGTCTGATATAACCTAAATGAATAGCAACATTTAAAAATATGGCTTCAGGGACTCCTCAGGAGGTTTCTTTGTAAGTGTACATTTACTAGTTCATCTGTAAATTTATTTTATGAGGTGTTTAAACCTCAAGAAAACTGAAAAGCATAATATTAAAGCCTGGTTTATATCTACTGAAGTCAATGGGAACTTTGCAATTGACTTTAATGGTAGCCTATGCCCTCTAATTATGAAAGTGGCAAGGATGATGTACACAAAACCACGAGAATTTTTTGTTTCATCATATCCTAATTCTGTTTGCAGATGCATTTGTGAAGTACAGCGCGGTTCGTTCTTGAATTAAACAGTTCAGTGTTTGGACCTAATCCCGAGCCATGTTGATATTTTAGGTTGTGTTTTCCTTCTCGAAAGATTGCAGACTACTCAGTTTCTCCAGGGCTCTCAGAGGTGACAAGGTAAGAAATCCAGCCAAATGTTCAAATTTTCAAAAGGCTTTTGAAAATTACACTTTTGGTTTTGATCTTACATTTGCCCTATGGTGTGAGTAGCGGAAGAAGTTGATGAAGCAGTTTTATTTGTAATTGCTTTGTTTTTTTCATGTGATCCATTTTGACAAGGCTCGTGGAAATGCATGTAATATCTGTAGCACATATGTACTTTTTTTCCCTGAAGGTTTGTTCACTGCAGTGTAGTAGAAAGTTTCCACCACGCTATTGTAATTCCAGGCATCACTTTTTTATTGTGTTAGTGAAAGTGAGTGGCAGTACACCACAACAAAAAAAGACTCACAGAATTCAGCTTTTTTTTTTTGTGTTAGTGCAATAAGCACAGCAGTCTGAACTGGCTAGATATGGTAAGTAATCTGTAGTAGTTAATAATGCTAGACAAAAATTCCCACAAGCTTCTTGCTGAGTCTGCTTCAGACATTACTCATTTGGTGGCTTAAATACCGGTCTTGCTTCACACTTTTGATACTTGTGAAAGATGTAGATATTTTGTTGGTAACTGGAGTTGGTAGAGCTGCAGATAAGAGTTTGCCACAAGTGTTTGGTTGGGGCCATGCTCAGTTGAAAAATGCCACTTGTGCAGAGTGGAAACGCTGTCCCTGAGGTGCATCAGCTCCACTGCAGCCTCAGAGAGAGCTGAGCTGAGCTGAGGCGCTGCTGCCTGGCCCCACTGCTCCCCCCAGCCAGCCCCAGGCTCTTTGCTAGGCTGAGCAGACTGATGGCATGGTAATAAATAATCAAATTGATGAAGTCAACTCTTCCCTCCAGACCCCAAGTCTCCCCTACCTCAGCATAGCCCCCTCCCACCTTGTCCATGCAGTGGGCTAGCAGCTCTCTGGCTTCCTCCCTTGCCTTCTGCCAGACTGGTCTGTCTGTCCTTTGTGGTCTGTCCCCTCAAGCCTACTGAGTCCTCAGGCTGCTGCTCCTTCTGGTTGTCCTTCCCCAAAGCTTCACTGGAGACTGCTTTTTTTAAGGTATCCCAGTGTGAGGGCAGCCTGGAGTCCAGCAGCCCCGGTGTTTTGCTGCCCAGTGATGCAATTGCTTTGGGAATGACCTGGAAATATTGTATACTGTCTTTCTCAAAAAACCCAGTGTGTCATAAATTCTTCCTCAGGGAAAAAAAAAAGATTATTAGTATTTATTGCTGACCTTAGACAAAATTTGTATGTGTCAAAACTACTTTGGTAAAAGTTAGTAAAAGAGAACCATTCCAGATGGCTGCTGTAGCCCTTAGTTCATCTTAACAGTCTAGACATGGACAGAGATCTCTGTAGTATAATTAGAGAAATAAATGACCACTGGAAATTATGTGTCTAAGTGAGACTTAAACTTGCTAGATGGAGGTTGGAGGAAGGTGTGCAGAAGTAGGGACCTATTTCTTAAGGAGCCTATGAACATGGTACATGAAATACTTCAAATGACCTCTCAGCCAATCCTGTTTTGCCTTAGTTTTGAGGACTACTGTGGCTTCTATGGAAGAATAAAAATGAAAGAAATTTTAAGTATTCACAGGTCTACTGTGTTTACACTAAATATAAGACTAAATAGAAATAAGACTGTAGTTAAGGCTCCTGATTTTGAAGAGGAAAATTTTTGTAAACTATATGATTTAATTACTCAAGTCAGCCAGACCGGGGAGCCTCGGGTTTGAAATGTGGAGGAGGTGTAAAGTTAAGTTTCAGATGTGAAAGCTACCTAGAACTTAGATTCCAAACAAAAGACTGTTGGGAAAAGCACCTTGTCTAGTTTGATGGGTAATCATCACAAAAAGATGTTGGTAGGTAATGCACGAACAGAGGAAAATGAGGGATCAGAATAGAAAGTTGTATCTCAGAGGTAGGATATGCAGGAATAAAGTACAAACAAGTGAGAGGAGCTTGAGAAAAATATTCAGGCAGCATTTGAGGAAAAATTTCTTATCTAGAAAAGATGTGGGAAAGGGAAAGAGAAAGACTCTTGTGCTGTGAAGAGGAACTATAATCTGTGTGGGATAAACTAATGATGATCTAGCAACAGGGCAAAGTCTGGAGGCTTTCTGAGGGTGTGGAAATGGCAGCTAACCAGCTAAAGAGGGAGCAAAGCTTAGGACAGTTCATGGGTAGTGGGATAACTGTTGTTCAAAATTAAGAAGGAATGGGTATATGAAACCATATGTGTGAATGTCTCATGAAGAGGAAAGGGACCATGTGACCAGACAGTTCCTCTGTGTGTGAAGGGAGGAAAGACTTGTGTGAAGATTGGCCTATTATTCTGACCTCACGGGTGCAAAGATTTAAAAGAGATATTGAAGAAAATAAATTTCTATACAGTAAATGTGGGATAGAAGGGGGAAAATTCATTAAAACGCCCCCACCTTGTACACGGTATGCAAATCTGGTACTTTGATATACTGGAAAAGTGACATCTTGTAAAAGCTAACCTTTCTGGATCTCAGTAAAGAGTTTCTGTGGTACAGGAATACATTTGATATATCCCCATAAAATATATCTCTGAGAAGGAGACAAATATGGAAGTAGGGGAGATGTAAGATGGAGAAAAGTGGGAAATAGGAATTCTCTGACTGAGTTTATCTGCTGGTTTGGGTCAGGTAATTATGGTTTTTTTCCCCCGTGGACTGACATTATATCCTGTGCAGTTTGCAGTGTTTAGCAGTCTTGTGCAGGTGCAGAAGGTACTCACAGTGTGGATTCTCTCTTGCTTTGCTCTTACCAGAGTTTAAAATATATGACATTTTGGCTGAAGGCATTTGTCTTTAGATGGAGAACCATAAGTGTCATTCTGGTGTTCAGGGTAGGATTGTAAAATGACAACTCTGAGAAAGGGAGATGGTGTGGAAAGGAAAAAAAGACAATTAAAAAAAGTAGAAATACAAAAATATGTAACACTCAGGAACTTTTTAACTTCCACTGTGCAGGGAGCTGTTGAGATTCTGGATCTGTATCCCTTTTGGCAATCAAATTCCCATATGGCACTAACAATTACCAAAGGGAAGGCAACAGTGGTGTACACCTCCTCTGCTGCCCTGTGGTCTGGACAGGGTGACTCTGTCCAGAAAAAGCACAGTGGGCTTTCCTCAGGTTGGTGAGGGTAGCACATACTTGTGCCTGCAATCAGATCTGACCCACAAACAGACGTACAGACGGATGGGTTGGTTCAGGTTTCCAGGAGCTCTGGTTCCCTACACAGTATTTCACTTCCCAGTGCACACTGCATCCCCTTGCACACTGGAGACTCCCAGTACTCACCAGCCTTTATTACTCTGAAGAAATGGACTCACTTCCCCAGTTGTAAAATGGGGTCTTCCAGACCTCTTCAGGCCAATATAGAGTGACATTCCCAAAACTTATATGTTACCTGGTATTCATCCTCATGGAACAAATACGAGATTGCTGAGAAGTGCTGCACAGTGTCTGTGCAGCCCAAAGAAGTTACTGCATCCTACAGATAAACAGTTCCCTCTGACTTGATTGCAAAGGACTGTGGTTGGAAGGAGACAAATTTCTCTGAGGCAAACGAAAAAGTGCATGCTGATAAAGATCTATACAAATACAGAACTTATGTGGGTAAGACAAGTAAAGAAAGCTTGAGACAAAAGAGAGGAAGGTAAGGACATATTTTTTGAAGGGAAGAGAGTACTCTTAGAAGTACAGAATCAACTAAAGTTGGAAGAAGCTGGTTGCAGGGGGAAAAAAGTATGTCCCTCAGGCACAAGAAAAGCCACACACACAAAGCTAGTGAGAAAATGAAGCCATGGTATCATATACAGTTATGTCTTGATCTGTGTGTATCAGTTTGAAGTAATGTTTAACTTTGATGTTAGAGGTCACTTCTGCAGAGTCTGTGGCTGTCCCTGAGGAGGTCAGCTGGAGCCAGGGTGCCTTTGAGGAAGAGCTTCTTGGTCATTGTGTGGTTTAGCAGCTAAGGGAGTTTGGATGAGCCGTGACTCATCAAGGGGCATATGCTGCTTGGTGGGGGAAGGGATGGAAGGACTTCCATGGGAAATAAAGTTGGAAACACATTGCCAGGAGTGATGAGTGCTTAAAAAGATTGCAGCTGCAGTGCTCTGATCCAAACCAGTTTCCCATACACTGCTGAATAAGAAGTTGGAGGGGTCTATAGCAATCATGCACATCTCAGGCATCATCTCAGAGAGCAAGAGTTAAAGCATTGAAGTTAAGAGTGTCCTAGGTGAAATAAAGAGAATGGGATATTAAAGTATTCCCAAGTTTATTCCATGCAATGTGAGTTTGATAGGTAGAGAGTAGAGGGGAGAAAAATGTGGCCAAATTCAGAGCTCTTAACCTTGTGCAGAGGTTTATTTGAATCCCAGGCTATTTGTATCCCATGCAGGCATTTCATTCCCCATGTATGGCAATAAAAACTGGAATGACTGCTTAAGGGTGAGCAGCAACCTGAACTCAAACTCAAGCTGACCTCTAATCTGACACAAAAAAATCTGTGTTATCCCTTTGGAATTGGAAGTGCCTTTTTGCTGGATTCTAGAACAGAATGGAGATGTCATGGTCAATCACTGATAATAATGTTCTCAAGGAGAGAGCTAGGAAGCAGCTAGAAAACCTTTTCCACTAAACCTCCTCAGGCTCTAGCTCTAAAAAGTAGGAACATATTTGCACAAGCATTTCCTTCTGCTATTTCCTCTTTGCTTTTCAGCTAGCTCGAACCTTGTGGGCATGTCCACAGATTTGGTGTTAGATCAGTCTCTCTACTTCCATCCTACTACTGTTTGCAGCAAAGTGCTTACCCTGGGCTATTCTGAAAGCATTGAGATGCAGCTGGGCTTTTTGTGAAGCCACTGTTTTGTTAATGAGGTTAAGAAATTAAACTGCAGTAGCCAGGTTTCTAGATTTTGATAGTCTTAATTATATGTGTGACAACAAGGACAGTAGAAACAGAAGTATGTAGAACCATGGGTAGGACTGAAACTCTGATAAACTTTGCAAAAAATATGTTGAAAAAACTCTCCATATCTAAACTATCTTTTGAAGTCTTGTTTGTCTTGTATTTATGAGTGGGTTTGTAGAAAACTACCCCCTTCTCATGTGTTTACATTTACAAAACAAAAAAAATTTGGAAATCAACATTTTAACCATCAGAATAGTGCAGTGCTACCTTCTTTTCACAAATGGGAGAATTGAAGGACCAGAGCTGTGAAGTTACCTGTTCAAAGCCGTAAAGGAGGCCAATGATAAATCCAGGTGTAGAAGCTAAGTCTCCTAAATTGCCATCTAATGCCATTAACAAGCCAGTGTAATCAAAAGAAAGTTTGCTTTCTGATGTTACAGTGAGGTGTGCCATAACAATGCCTAGGTATTTATCCAAGGGGAACACATTTGAATGTATATATTTGCCTATGGTCTTGTAAACACATAGAAAGGTTTCTTTGAATTCTATTCCTGAATTTAATATATAGTAGTTTCCTTTATAACTGTTTTCTTTTCTCCCACAACTATTTCTTCAAAAGTTATGTTTAAAACAAACAGTTTAGAGTCCAACTTCAGAGTCTTCTTCAGGATCCTGAGCACCTTACACTTCAGCTTGCCTTTACAGAAGACAGTAGATGGTTTGCATCTCTGAAAAAGGAACTAGAGTTATATATTGCTCTTAGCATTGGAAATCACTTTTAGAAATATTGCTGTAAATGTGTTGGACGTCTCAAAAGCTCAGGTCTGACTCTGATTTAGCTGTAGGGGAGGCTGTGTCAAGAGACCCAGCATGAGAGGAGCTGTGAATATGGAAGCCCACTGCAGAGCCTAATGCTGCCTGGTGCATTGAGCAGTGTCTGTCACAGTTTTGGCAAAAGTACACATTGCTTTCTGTCTCTCATGCTTGTGTCCTCCCATACTGAGTCAAGAATACTTGTCTTTGAGATCTAATCTTTTGGGATGGTAAGCACAAATAGTTTCACTAACAGCTGGTTTTACTTGCAATTGAGAGTTTGAAGCAGCCCAGCAGCTTTTTGCATTGGGTAGGGAGGGTTTCCTTCTGACTGTTACCTGGGTCTGGCAGAATGATGCTTTGGGCTTCCCAAAACAGGGCTAGTGTCCAGCACTGAAACACCATGGAAGCACTGTCTTAGTAGCAGGTAGCTTTATGGTTCATTAAGAGCAAATATTAAATTGTATTGGAAAATGATATTGCTTCTAAAAACCTCCTTATAGCACCTTTACAGTTTCCAAATCTTTATTTTCCACAGTTGGCCTGCACACAGGTGATGAGCATGCTCAGAGAATATGTCTGGTTAGCAACAATCAAACCTCTAAAATATCTGCAATTCATCCATGCTTCTCCCACCAGCAGGTGTCATTCTGGAAAAAGGAAAATATTGTAAATTCCTGAACTGGGGAATTTGGCCGTGACAAAGAAGAAGAAAAAAATTTTGCTTAAAATATAGCTTTTGAAGGTTACTTTACTCCAAACTAAAACTAAGAGAAAGCTGTCTGGTCTGCATTTTTAATAATCTTTGTGCAGTGTGTAGTCTTGACCTATAAATAACAAAGGGCAGACAATTGGTAAGGCAAACCAATGTCTACTTAAAGCTGTTTTCTGCTTTTTGCTGTTTTCTCTGATGCGTTTACCACTGCTTACTCACTGCCCCCCTCCATGACTATGAAATCAGAGATATTCATCAACCTTCCTACAATAAACAAAGAATTAAAGTGCTGAATTCAGATCTCATTTACTTCAAGGTAAACTTGAAGTAATCTCATTGAAGCAACTGAAAGCAGAAATGTTTGGAATTTAGTCTGAAACAACCAGAAATAGTATTTAACTTTCTACCCCATAAATAAGCCTCAAGCAGAAAATAATCTCAGAATAATTTTAATGTCTCTTATAATGTTTATGTTTTCCTTTAGGTGTTCATCTGGGTATTAGCTGCAACCTCCTTTAGTATGTAGAGACTGTTTTTGATGTCTCACAGTGAGAAAGCTGTGTCAGAGTTGTAAAGAACCAAGAGCCTGCTGGTTCATTGCTGAGGGCTCCTGGTCTATCAAGTCTAGTCTTTGGCTCTTAAAACCAAACTTACTCTGAAATCCATGCAGGAGCTGCCTTGACCACCCTATATGCTACTGGAAATTTGTTCCAACCCATCACAGCTCTGATGATTATAAATATTTTTCTCTCTTTCTCTTTTGCATTAATCCAGATCCCTTGTATCTCTACTGTCCTTTTACACTAAATAGTTTCCCCCTACCATTTGCACTGGCATGTAGCTGAGAGATTTGGGCGTGAGCATACTAGCCTGAACAAACCCAATTCGCATTTGTTTTCTTCCAGAAGCTTAGGATCCCCATCCTCTGGCATTAAGTTAAATCGATCTACTTTAAACACAAGCACACAGATGTGTGCTCCCTTCCTTGCTGTCTTGCATGCAACATTAATGCAAGAGCTTCCACGCCCCTCTAGAAACACTTCTCCTGCTCCATCTTAGCCCTGTACCTAATTTCTGCCTTGTAACTTCACCACAATCATCTTCCCTTTGACTGGTCCAGCCAGGTTTACCTTCTCAGCCATTTCTAGAAGGACTACAAAGGACTGTGTGCTACTGTGATATGATGGCCCACCAAAACTCTTCCTGGAATCAAAGAGAAATTTGCTTGAGGGAAAACATGAAAGCAAGTTCCGAGGTTTGGCTACAGGGAGGACATTAATGTGGGAAATGATTTTATCTTTTTAGAATTTTTATTTGCAATGAAGGGATGTAAAATAGTTGTCCTGTTGGCAGCCATGTCTTTTCCAAGATGTTATTTAATTACAAATGTAGCAACACTTTTCTAATGAACAGTACCAAGCACTCAGTTGCTGAGTGAAAAAAAGGAGTATGTAGACATAGAATTAAGAACTTCACTTCAAAATAGCTAAAAGCTCTATTCTTGGGTTTGCATGAAGCCTGTATTAATGTTTTCTGACTTTTTAAGTATTTAACTTTGAAAATGTAGTGGTATTCTAAAATTTAAAGTCGGAAAGTATAAAACTATTGTGAATATAACTAGTTCATTATGGCCTTTATAGACTCAAGATAGCAAGCCATGATAATCTCCAGCAGGTTTTTGTATAGTAAAGGATGAGATTTAGACAAAATTATTTCTTTAAAGTTTTTACTATTTTTTCTCAGGTTTTTAATTAAGTGAAATCATATAAAATTATGTTTAGTCTCTTTTGGTTTTTACTAGTAGTTTACTAGTGGTTTATTTTACTAGTTTTAGAAAAAAACTTATGTGCCTAAACGTAGACCTGTGCATTTTAGAGCTCATAGGAATCCCACCTGGCCTCTCACTGCCAGTTCAAAGGTGTGGGATTCTGTCAAAGGTCAAAAGTGTCCTGTAGGTCCCACAACATGCCAGCCCTGCACATGTATCCTGGGTACTCCAGGGTGTCCTAGCAGGCATTAGGTGCCTTCTTTCAGGAACCTGAACTTCCCCTTTATAAAACTGCTGTAAATGGTAATATGCCTCTGCAAATGCTTAAGAAAATTAAAGATATCACATCTGGGAAGGTAATTCCCTCTAAGATGTTTTATTTCAGGTCAACAAGGCCTAGAGGCAGGAGAGTTCTTTCATGTCTAACAAAGACAGAGTTGCTGTAGTCATTGGGATGCTGTCAAGGGTCTGTTTTGAATTCCAGTGGCTGAACTGAACCTGTGTCTGAGTTGGGAGTGGCTCTTGTTGAGTAAATGCACCACGGAGGTCCTGGCTAGGAGCCTGGGACTTCTCCTCAGGACTGTCGTGGTTGGTGGTTCAAAACTCTTGGGAGTCTGGCTAAAGGAAGATTAATTCCCAGTTTTGGCCATGATGAAGCAAACTAATTTTCCTGAAGAAAGTGGTAATTTCAGGTAGCAAGACACTCAGACAGACACAAGAAATACTTCTTTAATTAAAAAAAACCCCTTTTTAATTAAAGAAATGAAATTAAAGAATGCATTAATTACATATATGATTAGAAACTTATGTTAATCAGGTCCAGTTTTGATGGTCTGTTGAATAAGTGGGAAGTTACAAATCTTCACTATACTAGTCAGTATAGTTACACATAAATTGCACAATGTGTGGTTGAGCATTTCTGAATTGTTATTTTATAACAATTTGTTGCATATAATACAAAAAATTATATATTGTATATGTATAAAATACATAACTCATCCTAAAATAAAATTAAAGCTAATGGAAAGTTGTAAATTCTGGATAAAATCCACCACAGGCATTAATTAAGATTGTGTAGACAGAGGACACTTTTCTGTGAACTTTTTAAAATCACAAGTAGCATTATAATTGATAGGAGTTTGGACTACTTTTGTAGAAGTTAAAGAAATGAAATTGTTACAGAAAAGGTCATGATGGATGGAGAAATCATAACATCTGATTCAGTGATGTACAATATTAATTTCATAGTTTGGGAGTGAAAGAGAGAACTGTTTCCGTGTACTCTGTTGTTTTGGGTTTTTTTTCTAAGTATTTATCAATCTTTTTCAGAATGGACTCCCAAGGCATGGCTGCAATGGTTGTTTGAAACAAGAAACAGATACCTTCTTGCTGTCATTCATCTCTGGTCACTGGCAATCGGAGCTTGAAGGAAGGTGAAAGAAAACTCCTACAGAGAACTGGGAATAATTTGTCTTGTAAGAGGAGTATAATGGCCTTTTTAAAGCTTTTACCAAATATCAGGACATGTGATAAGAATTTATGAATTGGGAATTAATTGAAAGATTGTGAAATGGGAAAGAATTCACATTATGGGAAGTGTTGGAGAACTACAACCTAAGCACTCTGATATTTGTGACCAAGCCTGCAGAATATCTAGAGGTGATGGAACTATCTCAGATGACTGTTGTTTTAAAATATAATTTGCAAGCCCCTGCACCCTTCCCCAGACAGACTGGGAAAATACATTCCTTTTATTAATATTACTCCAGGGGACTGGAGGGTATTCTGAGCAGTGAAACATACAGTTTATGGGACTTGCTACAGAATTCAGATTTTAAAAAAAAGACGGTGCTAATTTGTACCTGGGAGTTGGTATCTGTTTAAAAAAAATTCTGTTCTAAAGATAACTTCTTTACATTTTCCTGTGTATTAAATAACACATCTATATGATAAAACATGAAATGTATAATTAAAACAATGGCTATAAGTATAGAATTGTGTAAATGCTACCTAAATCATATGTGTAAACATTAAATAAACAGTTTCATTTCTAAAGGTTACAGAAAACACATTTTAGGATTTTATATAGTCTTTCTACCCCTTTCCCCACTAGTTTTTAATATAATTGCAGTTTTAGAGCTAATCCATGTATTAGCTTTTTAACATTTGCAGTTGTGTTAAATTTTACCGAGGAACAATTTAGTTTGGGGAAACCGTTGAATCTGTGGTTTGTGTTGTTTGAACAAGAAGTCCCTGAGTATTTGTCCCAAATACCAATATTTTTCCTACACTGGCAGCTGTATATTTGTGGTCACCTGATGGCAATGCATGCAGAGACCCTGTGCAGCAGCAGTGCCTCTCACAGGGAATACCAGGAGGGAAACTGGAAGTAATCAAAGTACACGGAATTTGCTGTTCTTGGTGGAGGTCTCATGCAGGCAGCACTTGAATGACACTTTATATTTCTGGATAAGGTGGAGGTAAGAGATAGAAACTATCTGAAAGCCATTGCTTATGCTCCCTGGAACGGGCTGGAAAGAACAACTCTCCTGAGACACAGCTTTATACTGAACATGAGCAGAGTGGTGTCATCAGCAATTCTGAAAACGTGTTTAGAATGGTCAGGGAAAATATTTAGTCAGCATTTAAATATGTTAGCTCATACACAAATTTTAGATGTCTACTGCACTTGACAGTTCCAATAACTGGTTTCATTAAGATTTTTTGTGATACAAATTAATAACAAAAGTAAGTTAATACAGAGTGCAGTTATAAGATCAAAATACACGTGGTTTAAATTTAAAGAGTTAAATGTTAGCATTTCCCTATAGAGAAAGGTTATTTGGGCAGTGGTATACTGACATTATCACCACCCACTGAGAAGGGGACTTGTTGATCATATTGGTTAAGCAGAAATTCAGAAAAGCAAAACTGTAGGTCTAGAGGGTTTGCTTGGTGTAAGTGAATCACACAGGAAAAATGCTGATACCCAGGGTTGTTGTAGTGACTTTCTTTGATGGTTAGAAAGAGAAATAAGCACAGGATATTTTTGTCAAGTTAGAGGGTTTCGATTGCTAGGTAAAATTTGTCTTAGTTATTAATATAGTGGAAAGTTAAATGGTGATCATGGAAATATGATAATAAGTGCTGTTGGAAAATGGACAGAAATTATTTTCTGTGTCCATTTAAAATATTCCAATGTGTTAACAGTTGGGCTGAAGGGCTGCTAAGAACATGAATGTGGAAAATAAAGGAAAACTTCTGTCAAGAAGGTGTTTCTAGACACTGTCATGCTGTTTCTGGCAAATCATATCCGATAAGATGAAGGTAAACAACCAGCATTCATTTAGCAGAAAATAATGCTATGTATGTCTGGATTTCTGTTTGAAAAAGCCTTTATAATAATCCTATTGGACCTAGCTAGAAAAAAATCTAATCTACGAAGTTGCTAATTTGCCACTATTCAATGTTAATTTAATCTGACAACTCTGCCTATAAGCTTCTTCTATTATTCCTGAAAGAAAATGACATAAAATTGGGTGGGTTTGGATAGTTTCATACAGACATGGGACTGCACAGAAAAGCCAGGTATCAGCATCACTGCACGTAGGGAGATCTTGTCTCTGACCCAGCCAGTCAGTCAGCTTGAACACAGGCTGAACTACCCCAGGCTACCAGTCCTGTGCACTTTGGCTTATGAAACTTTCCGTGTGAGATATAGTTTCAACATGAAAAGTCAAAATACAGCGGATTACAATCACTTTTGCTTTGTTTGAAGCTAAAACTCAAAACAAAACTCCTGGAGTATAGAACTGTATGAAGCAAAACATAAGAAAGTTAACACAAAAACTCTGCAAACTGAGCAAGCTAGTTTCACTCAGCTCTTGAAATAACTCCTTTCTGCAAGTTCACTTTTCAATTGCACATGTGTGAGATGTCAAAAATGAGCTGGTTTCACAACCCCATGGCACAGATAAACAGCACAGCTCTAAAGGTCTCACTCTCATTCTCTCTCTTAGTTTCTGCTTTTGACATCTGCCAAGAGATGAAATTTTCTCAGTTGTAGGTTAGTTACATTGAGCTTTTGTTCATGTGTAGAACAAGGAATTTGTGGTAAGACCCAAATTCAGCCTGTATGTTTTTTATAGTTGTATCCAGCATTGAGAACTCATTTCCCAAATCTTTATCAATGCACTAAATGGCTCCTAGTCCCGTAATGAGAGTAGACACTTCACCACTTGGAGGTCATGCAAGCATTCACGTGCTTTAAGTTCAAAACCTGGCATTTCAGGGATACTGAACAGCTGCTGCTCTTCCTAGCTGGTATGGGAGCTGCAGGAACTCGTGCCCTTGTGAAGATCCCTCATCTCGAGGTGCTCTTATTCACAGTGGGGCAGTAAGCAGTCCTCTGCTCTGTTTCCAGCTTTTATAAAATTTTAGTGATACACAACAAACTGATGCTGCACTGATATTGAACTGGTTCCAGCTGGCTGGTGCAGTGCTGTGTTTTGAACTTAGTATGAGAATTATGTTGATAACACACTGATGTTTTAGTTGTTGCTAAGTAGTGCTTACTCTGAATCAAGGACTTTTCACTGTCTCATGCACTGCCAGTGGGCAAGTGCACAAGAATCTGGAGGGAGCATGGCCAGGACAGTTGACCTGAAGTAGCCAAAGGGATATTCCATACCACAGAACATCATGCCCAGTATATAAACTGCTGCAGTTTGGCTGGGAGCTGCTATCAGTGCTTGGGGGTGGGCTGAGCAGTGTGTGGTGAACAAATGTATTGAGCAGCACTTGTTTCTGCTGGGTGCTATTTACACACCTCCTAGATCCCCAGTGTATTTTCATTACAATTGTTATTATATCAATATTTTCTTTTGTTTCATTGCTCATCTCAACACAAGAGCTTTACTTTTTCTTCTAATTCACCTCCCCCTCAGTGCAGGTGGGGAAGTGAGCAAGTGGCTGTGTGGTACTTGATTGCCATCTGGGGTTAAACTGTGAGAGACACAGACACTGTCAACAGAGCTGAGTACTTATGAGTTCAGACAGGTCAGAACTCCTTTGTTTGCTGGGCAGCTGGTCCATTTGCTTTCCCCAAAAATACAGAGGGTCTGAACTCCTGTGTTCTCTCAATTATCACTGATGGAGAAGCAAGACCTGAGAAGCAGTGGGGCTAAGGTAGGAGGCTTCTAGGTGTAGCTCTCACACTTTGGCAACTCAGTTGAGAAGAGCTCGAGTGATGCTCAGGAAAAAAAAAAAAAAATCAGTGATCTTGTGTACGTGTATTTTGGTTATTCATGTGTCAAAATTTACTGGTGAGTTGGTATAGAAAAGTGCAAGGGGAATGGCTGAGTACAAAAGTTTTAGGGTGTATTGAAATGTAGGTCACAGCCTTGAGCTACACAAGGCTTACTGTGAGTGGAATTTACAGTATAATAGCTCACCTTTGCACAAGAGCGATTTTTTTTATAGCATGATCATATGTTACCAAAAAAAGCCCCAAAACATTGGACTGTTGGTGGAACACAAATATTATGTGACTCTGAACCTCACTTGGTATTTTAAACCATGAGAGTTTAGATCTGAGTCATCATAACTTGTAAGAAAGAGGTGTATATATATATGTATGCATATATAGCACGTGGGCTAAAAACAAGGCTTCTGTCTTGGGGTCATTTTCCCCTCAAATTGCAGATTTCATTCTCTGTCACTGTAAATCATTATAGCCTCAATCGAAAGTCAGAAATCAGCTTAGTTGTTTCCAAAATTTGAAAACAAACCTGGACTAGAAATCTTTACAGGCTACTGCTTTCTTCTCTGTTTCACCCCTTTGATTTTCAGAGCCCTTGGGCCATCAGACCACTTTAAACTTTTCTTACACCCCTGCTTCTCCATGGTGCTTCCTGCATGGAGCTGGTGTTAGAATTTGCCCAACCTCTAATTTGTCCCAGCAGAAAACTCAAATCTTGCATTGGAAGCAGAAACATAGTTAGTACTGCTAAAAGAGCATCTTTAACCCAAGATCTTTATTGGACAACTCCCATAGTTAGAGCAAGAGCTGGAGAAGATAGCACACAAGTGCCTGCTAGCAGCCCCAGGGGCACGTATGGGGAAAAGCTATTTTTCTTCCTTTTTACCTTTTAATTCATCACTTGACTTTAAACATGCATGTAGCCAAGTCGTGCAGAGAGTGACTTGCTGAAGAGAAGACTGTAAGGTAGGATTAGAGGCTCTGTTCAAGACAAAATCTGCTCCAGCCTGGAGAACAATCCCACCAGAAAATAAAATTAAAAGTAATGAGATTTCCCACTGTTAACTTAATAGCAGCAAACCACATGTTCTAAACAATGTTCTATTTTTTTTTTTTTTGGTATAAGGACTCATTTTTAGTAACAAACCCCAGACTATTAGCCCTGCCATTTTTCCACTGCTGGAGGAAAATGTGGACTCTTGCTGAGCTGTATGGTAAATATCTTAGATATATCTGAATCTACCACCAGCTAAAAGGCTTCTAAAATGCTAGCATGGAGAAACCAGTTTAAGGTAGAGGAAATAGAAAAAAAAATGGGGAAAAGAAGAAACATCTCTTTGGATATTTCTGTTATTTTTTAGATTATATTTCTTCTGAGCCTCCAAAATCTTCACTAACAAACAAGTTTTCTTTTGAAAAGTATTAAGTTATCAAAACATTTGCCAGGTCCTAATATTAAATCCTAGCAGTCAGCAGTGTTTAAGTTCAGCCATATAATTTTGCTGAGTAAGTCATGCTAAAACTTAAAGTTTTCCCCTCAAAATGGTCTTTCCAAATGAGATTGATATTGTGAGAAAAAAAAAAAGAGAAGAACGCCTTCATCATGAGGAATTATGGAATTAATTTTCTTTATATACTCTGTTTGCACAAGACATTTTTGTTAACTCTTAATAAAAATACCATTCAGCTGCTACTTTCATTGTTTTTATCCTGGGACCAATACAACATTGTCATTATTGGATATAAAGTGCTGTAAAAACAAATCTAATTTGTTAAGTTTATTTTGATAAGAAATAAATATAAAGGTAGTGCATAGTTTGTACAGTGCTGCTATCATAGGACTCCTGGGTATAATTTATATAAAGAAAATAA